CCACAGCCAAATTGCTAAACAGTACAAAGCCAGGGAAGTGTGGTCGTGCTACAGGATGGGAGGTCGGAGTAGAGCAGGACTTGACCCCCACAGACGGATGCACCGTGTTGGGTATCAAGCTGCCCCATAAAGAGTACGAGCTCTTCAAGATAGAGCTGGATCACAGGAAACACCCACTGCTGTTTATCGGCGAGAGGCCAACTGACGGGTCCAGTCCTGACCGACCGCTGAGGCGACCCACTTCCTTTCAGGCTCCCATGGTACTTTGCAGTGGGGGAAGCACACAGGCCGCCCGCTCAGGTTTTAACAGCAAGCAAGTACAGTTAGCAGCCAGTGGGACAGAGAGGCTTCCACAGCTGGTCCTGCTGGTGTTTGGATCTGTGCTTTGCGGCTGGCTCTGTGTTTACTAGACATTGTTCGCAAATCAAACCTGTTAAACAGCTGAAGCCAGTGATGGACATTTTTTCCTGGCAGCTGTTTTTCATTTTCCTTCCACATGATGACATGTTCATGACCACATGTGAAATAGGCAAGAAAGACATTTAGAAGATATATGCTGTCTGTAGGTTAACCTAAACGACTCACTTCATCTCCTTTTTCTAACAAATCTGTATAAAAGCCACCAATATATACAAATGCCATCGTTTCAGTATGTAAAACTTCATATATTCTTTTGAAACATGCTACCTTTGTATGATAATCAAAATGATGCTCTCAAGTCGCAAACTGATTTCAAATGTGGGTCTTCATTAATATGCAAGCCAGGGCTATTTCAGTTACTTTTCACCAAGATGCAGTACAACTAATGCACTTTGTAAATAATATTTTATCAGCATATTGGTAAGAACAGTTACCATCACTGGTCAAGTTTTAGTGTATTAGTCTTTTTTTTCTATCAACAGCCAGTCTAAACAAATTAATGAAATTAATATTTATTTTATCCATTTATACTGTGCTTTTTCATACAAATATTTTTTTGTCTAATATTTTAGTTAGTTTTGTCATTTAATATTTCCATGTCTATTAAAAGTTGCTTATCATAATATTTCTGTGAGATTCTTTTTTATCGTTCATATCATCAAGACAAAAGTTATGTGGGATGCTCTATAAATTCAGTTTATTTTAACTAAACTTGATTTATATTACATTTCTACATTACAGAAATAGTTATCTAAAGGCACTTGATATTGCAAGGTAAAGACCTCATAATATTAGAGAAAGAAATCCAAGAATCCCCAAAGAGCAAGGACAATGGAGCAGTGTGGAATAAACTCGTGGAACGTGTCCAGAGAGAGTTGTTTTTGTATGTAAGATATCAGACAGCTTCCCAACACTGACAGTGACCACAGATAACTGAGATTTGTGCTCCTTCTTTGTTCGCCCACTGTGCTGCACCTAACTGGATAAAATTTTAACTTAAATATAAAAAAATATTACAAGAAATGTGTTTCTGACGACATTTGAGGCAGAAAAATAAGGCATGCATTCGCTGAATCTGTCTTCGTTTTAGATCAACAACAGCTATTTTTGGCTGGACAGTGTTTATTTGCATAGAGCAGCCTAGACCTCAGTGTTTTAAGACTTTGTTTGACAGAAAGAGCAGACTAAAGGGAAATGGCATGCAGCAAATGGCTGGTGGGTAGACTCAAAGCAGACTGCCTGAGAAAGGACATGAGCCTTCAGTACACGGGCCACATGATTTACTGGGTAGGCAGATATCAACCTGTGAATGTGGAGCAGGCGACTCAACTTGGCACTTACAGAAAGCACTGAATGACTTGTTACATAGAGAATGGACACCTACCAATGCAACCAGGCTCAGGGACCATCTGCCACACCTAAGTAGACTTGCTGCTGAACCTCTGAGATCAGGAATAAATGTAGCTTTTACTTCAAGCACTGGAGAAAGTCTGTTCCAGATTTCATGCTTGTCCATCCGACATTTGTTGAGATAGGTATAGGTATGCAAGTCTAAAACACAAACCTTATGGTAGTGCTATGTAATGTTAAAATCAGTGTAAGTAGGTTTCTATCCTCAGGGGACCACAAATCTGCAGACTCGCAATCTGTCCAAAAGTTGTTAAAATATGTTAGCATGGACCAAAGTATACGATGGATGAACTGGCGCATGTAAAAAATAAAAGTTTACTTACAGCGTTCCCAAGCTGTTGTTTTATCTCAAGAAGCAAACAGAAAATTCAGGCAAGGATTAACTGAATTTGTTCTCTGGTGTTCATACTGTGGTCTGATTCAAAGCCCACAAAGTGGGTGAGCGTTTGATAGTCATATGGCTCACACATTACTCCGCAAACATTCCAGTGCAGGTCAAACTGCTGCAAACACAGAAGGATATCAGATTGGATGCACAGCCTTCAGCCAAGAAAACAGATTTTTCAGCCGCTTTGACATTAAATGAGCCAAGAGGAGCAACAGCAGGAGACAGCAGAGGAATATTTTTATATATAGCTCCAGATATTCAGTGTTGTGACTGAAGTCAGTGAAGCGCTGGAGATGTCCTCCATTTGTAAAACCCTGACAACTGTGTCTAATGACTTCAAGCACCTCAGCTCAACATGGTGCAGAATATCATCCAAACTCATCACCAGTGTCTGGACCTTTATCTACTGAACACTTGAATTCTTCATGCATTCTTTTTAAATGCATAATAAACAACGAGAGACTTTTTTTCTTCTCTGGCTTCATCTCATATGCTCAAAGTTCAATAATCCAGATTCACTAACACCTGAATAAGAATATAATGCACTTTCAGACACTGTAAGTTAAATCTTAATTGACCTGTGCAGGTCTTATGAAGCAACATTCACTGCTTTTCTAGTTGTTAAACTCCCAATCAATAAAACAGTTTTTCTTTTGTTTTTGCATTCATTCTATTAACGTTAACTGCTGCTGCACGTTGCTGATGCTAAAATGATTAAACAAGTGTACAAAAAAAACTAAACTGTTGTAAACGTATAAGTCTTTTTTTTGCAATTTGTTCAACTGAAGACTCTGCACATGTACACAGGTCTATCAACACCTGCATGACAGTGATAGTGGCGAGGAAGAATTAGGCATATCTGGGACTTACGTTGTGCAAGATTCCTCGCTAAAAGGTTATTAGAAAATAAAGCAGCCTGTACCACCCCTAAAATGCCAGATCGGGTGAAAACAACATATCAAGGGGATGAACTTGTTAGCAAAGGGTTACCCATCAACACACTGGCACAGAGGAACATTGTGCTTTTGGCCACCTAATCTAATGTTAACTATTCTTTGAGTTTTTGGAAGTAAGGTTTTGTAACTGCTAGTTTATCTACTTTGTTCAACAGAAAGCCAAGCATTGTGACCGTCTTTTATTTGGTGCATTTGTAAAGCTTTTTTAGAGGGTCAATATCTTCACTGAACTTTCCCACATACAAGTAAGTATAAAACAGACCAACATACTAGGCAGTATCAAAGAGGAAGGCTAAGTCATGCACTCCATAAAGCACTAAAAACACAAAACAAAGATAAGCACAAACAAACACAAGAGTAAACCAACAAACGAAACTGAAAATAAAGCAAGGGCTGCGTAGAGATAAATAAAGGCTACTTTACAAGAGTCAGCCATTAGAGCCAGTGTAGAAGTCTTGCACAGCATCAGCATTGCTAACCCTTAAGCGCTTTAAATATAACATAACAGCCAATCAGCTATGCATGGATGCATCATGTGGTTTTTGTGATCCTCTACACCCTTTTACACAATATCTGTCAGTCTGTATTATAAGAAATGAGCACCAAACATGATAGAAAATATTACTCAGCTTCAGCTCGTTCTTCAGCACAGGCTTTCTGCTGTGATCCAGCTTTAAAACTGGGAAGTGTTGTTAAGTACATTAAAAGGGTATTTATGAAAAAAATAAATCATAAAAGAAATACATTTATAAATGAATAATGAAGCCAAAGTGGTCATCTCCTGGAATTGAAAGAAAGAAAGAAAGAAAGAAAGAAAGAAAGAAAGAAAGAAAGAAAGAAAGAAAGAAAGAAAGAAAGAAGACGGTCTTTTTTTCCAGAGGCTGCATACTGTTCTTATTAACTCCTGCAAGGACGATGATGGCAGCTGCTAGTCCCATGAGGTCATCCTTCAGGCTTGAATGGAGAATATAGGTCTGTAACCTCCCAGAGCCACCACAAAAAAAGACCCAAAAACTGACTGAAAGAAAAAACTGGAAGTAAACGAGTGGCGTTTATCTGCACAATAACATGCAGAATCTTTCATTAAAACAATTTTGAACCTAGACAAATCAAACTTTTAGGGAATCTAGGAGTAACCACACACATCAATGTCGGTTTTTGCTTGCTTTTGATGGCTGGCCTGGGGTCTGTTTGTGGTTGTTGTTAGTGCACCATGCAGTGAAGGCAGAAAGACATGCAAGGCCAGCCTGTTAGTAATCAGGCCCAGCAGATTATTAAATGCAATGATTGAGGAAAAGATAAGAAACAGAGCCAGCTCAGTTAGTTACAAGAAGACTAAGAACCCTCTTAGTCACTACCTAGAATTATCAGTGTTTATAAATTTTACCTCAGCAGATATTTTTAGATTTTTAGAATTAGTTTATAAAGAATGTTTTCTCCTAGAGTATTGCATAGGGTTACATGTCTGTATGCCTATCGCAGAGGAAACAAAGAGACTGGCTGTTTAGGTAGAGAAAAACACTGAAAACACTCAGAAAAACAGCCATCTTTTAATTAATTAAGTAATTTATATTCCTGGAGTATAGTGCAAAAGAATGATAGCTGTTCTACTGAGTCGACTTGGTTAGCAAAGTGCATCTACAGTGCACAGTGATATTTAATAAGAGTCTGATTTGGAACCACAAAACAAAATGTAAATAAAAATAAACCGGGGCTACCAGCAACCATGCCTTTTGCATGGAACAGCTAAATTAAAAGGTTTGAGCACTTTGTGACATGGCGAGCTGTTTATATCTACAGGTGGATTAAAAATATGAAGGTGATGCATTGGCAAAACAACTACACTGAGCCAAACAAGTAAATTCTTAGTAATATTTATCCTAAAGTTATGGTTTTGCCTGCACCTGTTCAGCACCTGTCAGTTCTATTAAACCAGACATGCTGGGAGCAGACATCCCATCTCCATCATTGAGGCCTTGCTAATGTGCTACAATTGCAGATTTAAGTGGAATCAGAGTCAAGCGAGGTCAAGCTTCCGTCCTGAAACAACAGCCATCTGTAGGTAGAGGATGAAAGTCATTTAAAGGATGTTGCAGACAGGCATTGAGAGGTGGTTATGACATAAAATACTCTCCGAGATGTAAGGACAGAGTCTGCTTTCCTTTTGGTTTTATCTGAGCACTGGGCAAGCAGGACTTGCCTTTCTTGCCCAGATACTGTAGACAGCTGCTGCATTCATATAATATGGACTACTACATGAAGTAAAGCTAAAGAGGCTTATTTTATCAGACTATAAATATGTAGCATTTCTTCTGTAAAGTCAGACATTAAGGTGTACGGGGGTTGGGCTGGTTTGTTTTTAGAACCAATCTCACATGGCCATTTTAGGACCTGGAGTTTTTGGCACTTCTATAGCAGCTTTATTTCTCGACTCCTTTAGGTTGCCTCTTTTCTATCGACTGTTAAGCTCACTACAGAATGAGGATACTTAATTTGTTTAATTTGCAAAACTTGGGTAAGGCTATCTTTATTTTGTTTATCAAATCTAAATTTACTGTAACAGATCTAGCAAATAGTCACCTAAATACTGCACATTTATTAATTGTCAAAATCCAAAAGGAAAAAACATGTGAAAAGTTAAATGTACACGTATTTACTTTCAGAACAGTTGAGTAAGTAGTTTAGGTTACCCATCAACACACTGGCACAGAGGAACATTGTGCTTTTGGCCACCTAATCTAATGTTAACTATTCTTTGAGTTTTTGGAAGTAAGGTTTTCTAACTGCT